ACATGTCCTTAAAACCGAGCTCCAGGCAGAAATAAAAGGCATAAATTGATTCAGCACTGTAATCGTTAATACATAATCAAATGTATTTTTTTTAAAAGCAAGCATTACCTAAATTTGGTACAAGCATTTTGCAGCTCATGCACAGTCCCTGTACAGCAAAGGTCAGAGAGTGAAACTTAGACAGTCAGGTGTGATGCAGGTCATGAAGCATGTTAATAGGAGGAGAGTGAGAGAAAGATGAGTTCATTACTAGGTTGCTTCTCTTTACACTGTCTAGTCACTGGGTGGGGGTGGGAAGGAGACATGTAAGCAAAAGTAAAACTGCAGTAGAGAAAAATCAGGTCTCCTGCCCTGCCAGACAAGGTCATGCTGTGTGGCAGAGCTGTGTAAATCTCATGCTTTGGCAGGTTTCCCATACATGTGTGTTCATCTGTGTTTTTACCTGTTTGTCTGGAGTTCAGATTTAATTTACAAACTTTTTCTACACTTCAGGTTAATGTAAAAAGTGGCACTTAAACCCATTATTTGTTTGGGTTGCAAATAAGGAAATGAGGTAAAATCTCTCTAGTCACTTTAATCTTTTTTTTGCAATAGTGCTAAGAAAAAAAAAACAGAGAGAGAGAAACAGATATACCCCAATCTAGCAATGTAACATCACTGCTTATAATCCACCTTTGTATAAAGTTATTGGCTGTTGGGCGGCACAATTTTATCTTTCAATTGAATATTTAATATTCTTTCTTTTAAAAAAAATGTTAACAGTGTATACATAGTAAGAAATACATAATACAACCATGTCAGTCCAACCTTACACGCACTGCTCCATTATGTTGATAATTAAAGAGAAATAGAACATTAGGCAAGATATATAGATTACATTTTTTGGTGTAAACGTCATCATTTCCCAAGAAAACTTCCATTAAGATCCATGAAAACCATAACATGGCGTAAAATGAGGAGCTGTTACAATCACTAAATGCGATTAATTAACGCTTTTAGACTCGTATAGGAGAAGCAGCTAATATGGGGAATATGTTGTGTCTGTGCACACCACCCTAGTCTACATCATAGAGCCTGCACAGCTTACATAGGGCATTCCATTATACTATTACATAAGTCAAGCTTTTCGCTTTTGTTCCTTTATTGTTGAATTACGTCATGTGCTAATGCTTTGCAGAGTCTTTTTGCCACTTTAAAGGATAAGTGCACTTTTTAAACACATTAGCTCCTTTAATGTAGCTAAGGGGGAAAAAAAGCCTGACCTATTAAAGGTTCCATTTACTAAGCCACAATGATCAATATTTGCCATAATTGTTATTTTCAGCGCGATGCATCACATAGCTGAAAAAGCAAACAATGCTCATGGCAAATAATGTGTGATTCAGCTTGGTAAAGTAAAGCTATAAGCATTTAACGTAACCCCTTTTTTTCCCTGTCCTTTCGGAGGCGTCATCAAGGGTCCTACCAGTTCAGATTTTCCTTGGTCTGCATTAGCCTGCCTTTAGACATGTGCAGAAGATCTTAATGCACATATAAACCCGAAAGCAAAAATGTAATATATTGAAGCCTACCAATCTTTAGATGTGTTGGCTGCATTTTTTTTTCTTTTTTGAGCCTTTTTCCTTCATTTTTACCTTGTGATCCGGCCAGTAAATCTGTTATTTTTCAACTTCATTTGCCAGACCAAGCTGTCCAGCAAAAAGTGACAGACTTGGGACAAGGCATTAGACATGTGCACCGGCAAAAAAAAATTTTGTTGAGTTTCGCTTTGATTCAGATTTTGCGTTATTTCGGGATTCGGGTCCAAAAGTCAATTCGTTTGGGGATTCGGATTCAGACGAAATTCGTTAGCAGTAGTCTGTACGAACTTTCGTTTTCGTTTCGTTCGTTGCAGCAAAGTTACATTTGAGAAAAAAACATTCTTAAATGTCATTTTACTGCAACGAAATTTCGTACAGACTACCGCTAACGAATTTCGGAAACGGAAATTCAGATTTGTTTGCATTCGTTATATCCATAATTCGGAATTCGAATGTCCGAATTTCGTCCGAATTTGGATATCATGTTAATTAAGTCCATCTAACCTGCTAGAGCATCCAACACCACCCTCCCCACAGGGTGACAATGCCGCTGTACAAGGGTGGCTTCATTGCTCCTCCATAGAGTAGAGCCACACTAAGACAGGAAGTGTGTTACTGGCCGGATCACCAGGTGAAAAAAATGGGAAAGAGAAAACAAATACAGCCACATTTGAGGTAAGCTGAAACATATTCCATTTTTGGGTTTACATGTACCTTAAGCTGTGTATATATAGAGCTATATCAAAGAAGGCATCTCTGGACCCTCTGGAGTTAGCTCCCAATTGGCTGACAGGCACATTGCTGCTGGGGTGACCTTCTTTGTTCACCTCCTCTTTTGCTCACTGCACTTCCTAATTCTACAAAGCTCCCCCTGAAGGCGTGTGCTGTACAGAGATCAGGGCACCTGGAACCAGATTAATCAGACATGAGGAGCAAAATAACATTCAAAGCTAAACTCAGACTGGCAGAAGCGCGATCAGCACTAGCAGTCAGTCAGGTGTGCTGCACGAACATATGCAGACACGGAACATGGTGACAGGTGGAAAGAAGAGAGAGGTAACCTCTTCAGTCTTCTGCTGTTCCTTCATTGTCCAATTATAGGCATGGATAGAAAGGTACCAAATGGTATAGCATAACTGCAGCAGAGAAAAGTTGGGTCACCAGGATAGCAAAGTTGCATAAATCTAAGGACTTGATGAACTGAAACACAAATCCTTTGACCAGTAAAACAGCTCCTCTATATACTGTATATTTTTTATGTGTATTTAGCTGCTTGCCTGGAGTTCAACTATATAAAAAAGGTACTCTTATTCTGTACTTACTGGCCAAGTTCTATTGCACGTTGTCATTTTAATATTTTACATAGGGCCTGGGTTGACAGACTTATGTTTGCAATTGCTTTTCTACCTATACAAGTCAATAAGAATGTGAAAGCAGCTTGAAGCAGGTCAGAAGGAGGTCAAATGCATGTCAGGAGGAGGTCAGGTACACCTTTCAGTGAATTCTGAATGATCTCAGAAGCATCTCAAAGTGAAATGCAGCTGAAAGCAAGCTGCCAGTCAACACTACTAAAATGCATTCACTTATAATATGGTTGACGGGTTCCGAATTGACTATTTGCACTAGTGCTGGTCTGGTTGTAGCCTTGTGAAGGACTGACAACATGTATGTTATCTCAGTTCAAATGATCAAGTTCTACAGTTACGGAATCAACTATACCCTCAAATGTATTCTCAAAACAAAAATGACCTTAAATATATATAGATATATAAATAAGCAATACTGACATTCGAGAAAGCATCCTTATCCTCTAGTCTCTCTAATACTATATATAGAATTAGCTCAAAAAAAGCGGAAACAATCTTTACGCAGAACATTTTTGTTTATGCCTCTGACTTTATATTCTTCCTATATTTTTATTCAAAAACCCACAAAAAAAACCTCACGTACAGGAATCATATACAATAAAGTGGTGGCCGGCAAATTAAAATGATAAAACGTATCTCCTGTTCTCTTTCAGCTGTGGTGTCCCTTGAAACAGGGGCAATTCTTCTTATAATAAACATGTCGGTTGCACACTTTACAAAACTAGATCCCTCTTGACTGTTCTGCCACTGGCCGTCTCAGCTTACAGTAAATGGAGACAGCTAATCAAAATACCAAAAAGAAAAGAAGATCAGTCATTAAAGAGACTTAGAGGCAACACTTCAGCTGTTTCAAGAGTTATCTCAGAGAAATGTAAATATCCGAATATTTACAGCCAAGCTTATTGCTGCTTTTGTTTCTGTTATTTATTAAGTATAAAGCTATATTTTATGGCGGATTGAACTACAGCTCTCTATCTGTTCATACATTTTTTTTTTTATTTTTTTTTTACAGAGATCCAAAAACACTATTTTGAGAAATTGTTTAAATTATAAAAAAAAATGTATCATTGTACAAACTGTTATATCATATAACTGTATGCATGTACATTGACAATTAAAAAGTATTTAGCAAAAAAAGTATAGCGCAAAAAAAAAGTATACATGCACAATATGCTAATTCAGCAATTTAATCGTTTGCATTAGGCAAATATTATAAAATATCAGAGAATATGCAGAATTAAAAAAATTCTAACGCATAACAGACTCCATGTCCATCTGATATTGGACAGATTTAGACTGCTTTATTAAGCAAATAAACTGAGAGCTTTATGGGACCAACAAATCCAGCAATCTTTCAAGGTCTTCTTTAATCATGATAATTAA